TCTGTCCCCCGCATCGCTCCCTCCCGTGCTCCTTTCCCCTTCTCCCTCCTCTTTCTCTCGCCCCGTATATGTTTTCTTTCTCTCTCTCCCTCTCCCGCCTTGCTCTCTACGCGCCCCTTTTCCTTTCTTGATCATCTGAATCTTGGACCCGTCTTGCGCCACTTCTCGCGCTTTTTTCTCCCTTCACCGTCTGAGTCTGGCATACGACGCCCGGTCGATCCATCGATAACTCCCGCTCGCCAATCAGGTGCATGGATCAATAGGACCTTCCTATTGCGCCGCGAATCTGATTGGTTGAACCTTGAGTTTCGAAGGATCAACATGGCGTTCGTAGAGCATTCTTCTCAAATTCTTCTCCTCCTACTTCTCCTCTTACACCTCAGCTCTCCCGTCGCCTTCTCCCCCTTCTATCTCCCCTGTCGCAACTATAAAACCCGCAAGCGTGTCCGCAAATCTCTCTTACGTTCTCGACTCTCAAGCCAACTTCTGGGAAGCAGTGGCTAGGCAGAGTGTTTGGTGTGAGTCGGAAAGTCCTGTCGGGCTGACGATAGGCTGGCTGGTTGCGCGCTGGATCGCCACGACGGACTGTGGGATCTGAGCGAACCGTGTCGAGTCTACGACAGCGGGGAGATGATCGCAGTGGTGGGAGTCCGCACGCGGGGGCCGGGATCGTCGGTGCGGGTATGAGGATTGATGATTGGAGTTGAGTGAGTTATTGGTCCGGGGCCATATTGGAATCAACGGTGAATGCGCCTTTATTATTGCGGATCTTTCTCTCTGAACTTCCTTCTTTTGGGTGGCGTCATCTCCTATCTAGACTTCCCCCCCCGCCCCCCTCCTTCCTCTTCTCCTCTATTTTTGAATAATGATGTGTCTAGATGCTTCTCTCCTTCTCTCTCTCTTTTTCCTCCTCTGGATGAGTATGAATCTGTATGCTTGTCGTGCGTGAAAGAGCTTCTTCCGGAACTCTTCCATTAGTTTCCTGGGTAATCCTCCTGCGCAAGGACCCCGTCTTCTTGTCTTGTGAACGGTGGATGCGTGTGTACTGTGCAAGCAATCCATCTTTTCCTGTACATGGCTCATTTTTTCGCATCTTCCACAGTGAATGAATGTATGAGAATGCACGTCTCTTTGGCATTGATTAGACGATTGTCGTCAGGATTTTATCCGAGAATGCAAGAGTGTTTAGATCTGTAGCTTTGAGTGCACAACGCATGCCATCTGCCTTATGCTATCCGATATCCGCAGCCGAACCACGAGGCGGCCTCGAGAAACAAGGCGCCTGGGATCAACGTCGCGCTGGCTCATTAAACCTGAGCCGAGGATCGGTCCCTTAATTATATGCATGATCGAGCTGCTGACGTGCCTTCTCTCTCTCTCTCTCTCTCTCTCTCTCTCTCTCTCTCTCTCTCTCTCTCTCTCTCTCTCTCTCTCTCTCGGGTTAAAGGAAATTGTTTATGAGTTGCGCGAGTGTTTTCTTTTCTTGATGACGTTGCAAGTTTTTTCCAATTGATTGATATGTGGGCCAACCAGTACCCTCCGACTGGGCACCAGCCTCCCGTACCTCCCTCCCCAACACGGCCATTTCCGTACAACGAGGAAAGGACACGTGTATGCGAGTGGGACGTGCGAGACGCTGTCGCATAGATCGGCAGATGATACTACTTCCCTCCGGCAAATCGTTGTTCAGGGTTCGTAGAGGCTGGGTTTGTCATTATCGACACACACTTCCCACCTTACTCGATATTGTTGCCATTCAACGAGTTGATCGTCATCCCGTGGACGGCAGTAGAACCCCACTGGCCGCGCACCCTATGCACCGACTGTCAGCGTTTTGAGCGCTATGAGTCCAGAGGTTTCCACTACCGTGTGCGGAGTGAAGACGAGCATAAAGAAAGAGCCACGCGGCTAAGACCCTCCACGTCGGACTCGGAATTGACCATCGAACGACGACGAGATTTGATACGAAAACGAGCCACGCGGAGCGTGCCAAAGCCTTTCCGTTCTAAACGACGGGCTGTAGCCCGGTGGGAAGCCAGACAATACTTTTTGGATTGAATTTGGATTTTTCTCTCTTCGCGCCTTGCCCGCGCGCGCATTCCGCGACGCGCGAAAGCAATCGACTTGCTTCATCGGACCAACACGGGGGATTTCAGTTCCATCTGTGTCCCCACAGTCAATTTCTAAAAATCCTTGGCACACCCCATCTTGTTGTTTTTCTGGGCCTCTTTCCGTACGCCTAACACTCCGAACGGAAAACAGCACAGGGCGTGAGGTTGCGCGTCACAAAGGGGGATCAGATCGATCCCTCTCATGTGGCCACCCTGTACTATGGAGCTCAATCGCAGTGGAGGTCAATCTAGCATATACTGATTGCCCCCCTCTTTGCTTACTCTGATGGGATGCAATTCGAACTGTTTGGATTGGATTGTTGTCGTCCGGATTTGTATTGACTCAATGTGTACGCGACTCGTCCTGATTCGATCTGTTTCTTCGATCTCATTTGTTGTTTAGACTAGTGTCATTAGAATTGGCTGGATTGGATTGGATTGATCTTGATTAGGATTGTCTTCATGTGTACGGGACTTGTCCTCATCTGGTCTGTTTTTCGATCTCATTTGTTGTTTACACTTGTGTGCTTCGATTTCATTGTTCACTCCTGGTTGATGGATCTTGATGTCATCTTCTTTGTTTTCATCAGAAACTGTTTGATTTCTCCTCATCTGAGTAACAGCGATCTGAAGTGAAACTGGTGCTTTGGTTTGGACGATGATTTCTCCTCTCTGTTCAGGCGTCGGGGTTCTGTTATGTGTTGCCCCGTTGGATAAGGGAGTGTGCTAATTAGGGTTGCACTAGGGAGACAGGGCCTTTGTCAACTTCAGGTCGCAATTACAGAATGAACTACCTAGGGTTTGACTGGGATCCCCGATTTAGTCAGACTCTTTTGCCCTGCTACCATTCCCCCCCAAATTTGTATAGTGCAGAGCGGCTCAAATAGTTTTAGTGGAGTGGAGCAGGGCAGAGCTTGACTTCGCACGGAATGGGCTTAGTCCTTCCTTATTTGGGAAGCAATCAATGCCCCTTGTCCGTGCTATTTCTGTGTCCAATAGGGATGTTGTCTCCATGGGAGGAGTGGCTGAGGCTCTTCCAGCCCTAATGGGAAGAGGATGTCCTGCGCGCATGCATAATAGATCCCCCTCATCGTAATGGTCGCACCCCCACGGGCCTGCTCACATAACTCCTGGTTTACACTGTGCAAGGACAGCCCATGCGTCACACGGACTGCCAGAAACTGCCCTGACTGACCTACACTGACCTGCGTCAGACCATTGTCCTGGAAGGCCCAGGTGCAGCAGTCCATATCCAGTGGCAGTAGTAAATCCTTGTAGGAGAAATACTGGCTGCCGGCGTGCCGCCTTGTGACTTGCTTCTGACTCATCATCCGACCCTCACGCATAGTCACCCGCCTTTGCCGTATCAACCCCAGGACCCCACATACTGAAAATTGGCTTCTCCGAAGGCCCCATTTTCACCACGGCCATATTATTTCCCCTGCCTTTGGCCGGACACCCCTCGTAACCCCCGTAGCCCTCAAATAAACCAAAAACCTTCAAGCACACACAGACAAAGCCCCGAAACAAACGAAAACAGCCTGTAATACGGGTGGTAGGCAGCCATCGTGAACTCTACCCGCACGTTCCACGGGAGCTTCCACAGCTTCCACACCACAGTAGTTGTGGATCCATACTTTGTGTCTGGCCTTAGACCTCGTCCCTGCAAACACCTACGGGATTCGAACCGACGCCCTTGGCCACAAGACCCAAGTCGCTTAACCGCTATAGCCAGGACACGGTGTAAAAGCCTCCAGGTTTTCCAAACTGGTGTATATCCGAACTGGTGTATACGTGTCTTTCTGGATACCACGTACGCCACTCAGGGCATACTCAGACTAGGACTTTTTCTAATAAGCTCTCGACGTGATTGCGGTAAGATTCATCCAGCTCTCGCCGTAATTGCAGTCAGATACATTTGGGAAGTGCTAGTCCGAGTAACACGCGCCTTTTCAGATACCTCCCGTCGACACTCAATACGGACCGCAAGTGGGACACGTGTAGTGCACTATCTGCGTTCCACTCTCTGTTTTCCTTTTTTCTTTTTCTTTTCAATTTTTGAAAGCTAACCCCCGTTTTTCTCTGCTTGAAAGTCAAGGGGGAAATGAAAATCGGTGCCATAATGAGGGGAATGTGAAAGCGTCAACCCATCTGATGCGATTTGCGTGTGACGTGCATGGGTACGATGTGATGATGTGTTTTGTGTGTTGCAGGGGCCGATCGCGTGGGCTTTCTACATGGACGAAGCCCTGCGCCCTTCTGTCACGACCTCAGCGGCCTTTTCGCGAACGTCAACCTCCTCCTCCCTTAGCAGAAGGAAGCCATTTTTACCACTCCGCCCGTTCATCTATTCCAGTTTTCCCAATCTCCCGCTCCTTTTTGCCACCCTGTTGGAGGGAAAGATATTCGTGCTTCGGCGTCTGCTCTCGCTCCTTTCTCTCCTTGGCGCTATTTTTGCCTAGAAGATTATCCTCGTCGTCATCATCCTTGTCATCTTCCTGTTACACCCACTTGTGTCTAACATCTTTACCACGAAGAAGTCTCTCTTCGTGGCCCTCTCCTTCTCTCTCCTACTCTTTCTCGCCCTCTCTCTCCTTCTCTTTCTGGCCCTCTCTCACCTCGTGTCTCTCCTCTTCTCTCACCTCTTCTCTCTCGTCTTTTCTCTCGTCCTCTCCCTTCTCTTCCTCTCCCTCCTTTTTTCTCCCGCCTTCGTCCGCCAGCGTTCTCCCTCGATTGCGCGAATCGGATGTGCACGAGGATTACGTGAGCACTCCCCCTGAGGGCGTCATCATCGGTGGCTCGGCAGGTTCTTTGTCAGCTACTGCTAGGCGGCATGTGGCGCTAAGCGGGACGTTTCCTCGACGTCGGGATCTCGGTTCTGAGCTTCGGAGTCGCCGCCGCTCCGTATCCGCGCCTTGCGCTGGCATCTGGACGGTCGGGACTTTCCATTTTTATGTCGGCGATCCTCTTATGTCCATAGCGGTCGAACTTGCCGCTCCATCGACATCTTTCTCGCGAGCGGCGCCACATCGGCCTGATCGTCAGGACCACGGGGTGCGGCGTCGTCGCGACCATAGCTTCATCACCGGAGCGTCTCGACGAGAGGGGACTGCAGATTGTGGGTCGATCTGTTCAGACCCGAGGCTCGGACCAGGTTCGGACGGAATGGCAGGCGGCGAAGGCGAGGAGGTTCGATCAGTCATGTGGTTCCGGAAAGGCCTCCGCCTTCACGACAATCCTGCTCTGCACGCTGCATGTGAGAACGCCACACACGTGTGCCCGCTCTTCATCCTCGATCCTTGGTTTCTCGCTCCCGATACAACGGCACCATCTCTTGGTTCAGCTAGAGTGGGGATCAATCGCATACAATTTTTGCTCGAGAGGTCAGTCCTGCTTCTTCTTTGATTTCGTACTTCGTCTGTGTGTGTAACACACCCACCCACCCACACACGCACAGACACAGAGAGAGAGAGAGAGAGAGAGAGAGAGAGAGAGAGAGAGAGAGAGAGAGAGAGAGAGAGAGAGAGAGAGAGAGAGAG